GAGAAACAAAAAGGGATTTGGCAGCATCTCCGCCGAAATCTTCCGGACAGTGGATGCGTCCCTGTTACTAGTACTCCTAGAGCTGGACAAAAACACGCCCGCGGGTAAGTCTGGCGAGCCTGGTTCACCTCGAAAGGAACTGTACGAGCTCGTGGACCATGGAGTCGACTGTTTCGATAGAGCAGTAAGTCTGCTGAAGGGATATCGTCGCCTATATGTTCTCAGTCGGCTCTATCAGCAACGTAAGCTCTCCCCATACGTGCTCAAAACATGGAGGCGCATCATCGAAGGGGAAGAGGATAGAGGTGGCGAGCTGGGAAGCGACGGCGAGCTGCAAGTCAGAAGGTATCTCAGCAATATCAGCAACCAGGAGCTGGTGAAGACATATGGTATCTGGCTTGCTAAGCGCAACCCCAAATTGGGTGTCGAGGTCTTTGCCGACGACAAGATGAAAGCACCGAAGTTGGTGCCTACTGAAGTAGTTGCTCTGCTTCGAGAAGAGGCACCCGATGCAGTCAAATATTACCTCGAACATCTCGTGTTCAGAAAGGGCAGCACAGCCTACATCAACGAGTTGATAACATACTATCTCGACATCGTCATCAACGATCTGCAAAGCTCGCCAGATTCCCGAGCAACCGCCACGGCCTCATACGAAGCTTACCGCGCCTTACGTCCGCCCAAACCTACCTACCGCCAATTCCTAACCGACAACGCTCCTCCAGACGATGAAGCCTGGCAAAGTCGACTTCGACTCCTCCAACTCCTCGGAGGCGCACACGACTACGACGCCGCCGCCATCCGCCAACGCATCGACTCCTCTCTAGCAGAGTTCTCTTCAGAACACGGCGTACCACCACCGCATTCCAAAAAGCAAAATCAACCACAACCACAGCCACAACCAAAACAGCGCCTCCTCGTCCCCGAAGCCATCATCCTCAACGGCCGTCTCCACGGCCACGAAGACTCTCTCCGGTTACTCGTCCACCACCTAGGCGACTACGACTCCGCCGTCTCCTACTGTCTGCGCGGCGGCCTGTCCCTGTCCTTCACCAACACCACCGCCCCTTCGCAGCAACCGAAACAGCCTCCACCAAGCAAAGGAACTCAATCCCATCTCTTCCACGTTTTGCTGTCCGAGTTCTTAACAATCGAAGACGTGAGTGACCGCGTCGAGCAGACGGGCGCTTTACTTGAACGGTTTGGCGGCTGGTTCGACGTGTTGGAGGTCCTGGGCATGATTCCTGATGGGTGGGCGGTGGATGTCGTCGCGCAGTTTTTGGTGATGGCGCTGCGGAAATTGGTGGAGGAGAGGCATGAGAGTTTGGTGCAGAGGGCGTTGAGCGGGGCAGAGAATTTGAGGGTTGGGTATGAGAGTGTGGTTAAAATGGGGGAGGTTGGGCCGACGGTTGTTGGTGGTGAGGATGAAAAGCGTGGCGAAGGAAGACAAGGTGAGGAGATGCAGCACATGGAAATGGGGGAAATGCAGGAGATGGGGGATATGGGGGGGAGTAGAAGGGTAGTTGATGACGATGACGAGTTTGCTTGAGGCTTTGGTTCTTCTCTTTCTGTATATGCTTAGCGGAACTTTTGGGACATGTTTCCATCCTCAAATTTGCAAAATTGATTGTTCTTCGATCGTACAGTTTGTATTTTCCAGGAGATCTGGTCATAGGTGTTTGGGCCGAAGAGAAGAATGGAAACGGTATATGGCATGGTGCTGCCCAGAGGGAGGATTGAGGCCCCGTATAAGGTCCACATTTAAGGATTCCCTTCAACAACGGTTGTATAGTGTAGCGGTTATCACTCCGGATTCTGAATCTCATCAGAACATTCCGGCAACCCCGGTTCGATTCCGGGTACGACCTTCACTTTTGACTTTTTTTCTTACTGCTCCCTTACTTCGAACGTTCGGTTCTTTTTTTGTTTTGGCTCATGTCGCTTTTGTATTTCAGTTGTATTGCCCTGTTCAATTGTTTAAGGTTGCTGTCATCATTTTGCGCTCCACGTCGGGAGTTGTGACGGAAGCTTTTTTGCCTACTCTTTGACTTATGTCCATATGTTCAGACCAATGTTATCCTGGCACGAGTGAAATAGCGCTGAGGAGTCCATGTCGTGTTCTATGACGCTGTTGCTAAGGTTGGATAACCCGTTCCTTTTCTTCTTACGGCCTCATACCTCCCTAGCCTGGAGTACACGCCTTCGGTTACTTTTCGCAAGACCTGTGCCGTTCTCCCGATCCACTTCCAAGAGGTACATAACCTCTCCGCGTTGTCCTAGGTTCGGTGCGAAGCTGGGGGCTTCCAGGATCGCGTCTCCTTCAAACGGATGCCGAACTTCATACTCCGACACCCCCGTATGAAATAATCCAACAGATTTGGAGTCTTCGAGCCAAACAATCGCTTTGCAAAGCATGCCCCATACAACAAGTTCATGCTGCGTGACCTTGAGAACGGCTATTTCTATCTTCCCAGGAACGTCCAAGAAGTCAACAGCGCCAATGACCGAAGCCCAGGACCATGAAGGCGCCGCTTTTTCAGGCGATCTGGTCACGGTCTCGGCATCAACCGGGTACCAGAAGAGGAGTTGGTGAGCAACGTCGTCTCCAAACCACGACCCACTAGCGTATCCGTACGTAGACAAAGCCTCTAATCTCTGCGCAATGGCCGACAGAGCAGGTAGCCTGTCCATCGGATCGCTCACGGCACGACGAGTATAGTTCCTTATCAACCTCTTCCAGGTTTGCACGACGTGTTTTTCCAGCCGGCGATGTGTCATCGTCGGCACTCTGTTACGGAACCTGTCAACTTCTTCCGTGCCAACCACTACCGGAGCCCAGTCAATGTTCACCGGACTCTTCTCAATTTTGTCTCGGGTCCAGTCGTCCACGTTCGGCGAACCGTGAGCGTGCGGCACACCGTAGCGGGTACAACTACAATGCCACCTGGTCTGATGCGTACCAAACTCCAGCATCCGCGAAGAGATCAAGGACTCTTTTCAGTGTCCATCCTCGACGGTCGATGGGCTCGTCCCATTCTTCGCTCCGGTTATACCAGAGCAGAACTTTCCCTTCTGTTTTACCGTCGAGGCATCTGAACGGGATCGCAAAGCTCCCTTCCTCTGAGGTCTGCCGCGACTGGAGAAAGCCGTCGTGGCAGGTCGATGCTCGAGAGGCCGAGATGGTGACCTCGGCGTTCCCGTAGATGTGGCCCATCTTTTGTATTTCTTCGTGCTTCTCGTGGATGTCGTTCTGGATTATGCAGAAGGCATCGACCCAGAGGTGACGAAGACCCAGCACGAGCGTGATGTGGACGGCGTCTTTTACGGTTTCGGGAAGCTCCGCGTGCGGAATATCGACGAGCCACTGGAAGAGGCTTTCGTTCCGGAGGACGTTGGTCTGGCTGCGGCCCCAGCAGTAGCTGAGTGCCACGTAGGGAGGAACGGTAGTCCGCGTTGCTGAAGGTAAATCGGCAGAGAAGTCTACCGGTTTTGACCTCGGAATGGGTCCGTCGTCGCCTGATATCTGGAGCAGTCGTTTAGGATGCGACTGTGTTGAAAACGAATGTTGGCCGAAGCGGTTTGAAATAGGATTCCGAGGACATTCGTTAAACCACTTTCGTATCAGGTCGAGAGACGACTTCGAAGACGGATACATTTTCGGGGGTCTGGTCAAGACCTCCCGTGCGGCAGGATCACTGGGATCTTCTCAGCCTGATAATTCCAATCCACAAAGGGAGAAAGGAAGGAGGGAATATTAGAACTCACCTTTCACTTGCACAAATTACCACTTTCACGGAGTTGGTCCCTTCCTCCACAGAAAGGAAGCTAACTTCTGTTTCGTCATGAAATTCATCACCGGAGTCGTCCACCGGCTCATCCGCAAGCAGATAGTGGCCTTTTTCTTCGGCAGTTTCTTGCTGCCAGTCTTTCTCTAAGACGCCCATGATTTCTACTTCATCTTCTATCCGGATCGGATGACCCCTTATCAGACCTGATGACCTTCGTTTCACATCGTTGGCGTCTTTCTTGGTGCTGGCTCCCCCTTCTTTGCCAGTCCGACCAGCAGGCGGCCGATAAAGCCCGTCCGCCGAGCGAAACGATCGTAACCAAGGGGTATATCGTCCATCAACCCACTGGAGGTAAAGGTGAGTCTTGACTGAGCCATGTTCGCCAACCAAAGCCTGCAGTTGACCCCAACCAGGAGCGTCTAGGACAGGAGGCAGTTTGGCAATCAACCATTTCATAAACGGACATCCATCGTTCTTACCCGGTGATGAGTCCGCTGCAAGTACAAAAGCTTCGTCGTAAAAAAGGTCAAACATGTATACCTCCGCATCCACACCTGTACAATCAAGGGCGCTTCCGTGGAAGGAAAAGAGGAGCTTTGGAGAGAAGCATCTTGCGCAGCTGTGGGGTTCCGGATAGATGTGCGGTGCCATCGCTTGTTGTCAAGTGTATGTCTAACATGACAGTGAAGCCATAGGAGCTACAGATTCTCCATGATAAAGTCTGACGTCCATATCGATGATTCTCCCGTTGAGAGGCCGCCGGTTTTGCGTGGGGGGGGGGGGGGGGGGGGGTGGGGGGCTGATGTGTACCGCCATGAGAAGTCCAAGGGGACATGATGGCACCCAACCATCAGCTGAAGAGCTGAAAATCGGAGCTTATGGAGGTCTCAGGTCCATCATGAACAACGGACATTGGTAGAATAGCCAATTTTGGACAACGATAAAAAGCCCCTCTTTCAAATTTGAAGATTTCCGTACAAGTCTTGTAAAAAAAAACAGAAAGAACCGACAGAGAAGAAAAGGAGGTGGAAAGCGAGTTCACGAAGCAGCAGCAAACAACGAAGTGGAAAGTGCGGGGTACTTTCCTGCCCCAAAAAGGGGGAAGCTCCATACAGAGCTCCATAGCTCTAGAGCTTGCCCCCGCCAAGACCAAGCTGTTCCTTCCCAACGCCCTATACAAACCACCTTTTGCAATGTGTCTTTCAAGCAAATGGCCCGCTGGCCAAATGGTAAGGCGTCAGATTTCGGTTTCTCGAGAGAAAGACCAGAAAGATCTCTGAAGATTGGGCGTTCGAGCCGCCCGTGGGTCGATTATTCTTTTGCTTCTTTTTTGGTTTAGGTGGATGTGTTAAGGAGGTGACGATGTTTGTTTTTTGGGGGCATATTTTAGGCGAGGAGTCTCGAGTTTACCTACATTATACCCCAGAGCTTACGGCAGCTACGTATGTTTCCCCTTGACTTGTGTAGGACTCGTCTGTCTTGCACTTTTGGTTCTCCATTCCTGGCCGAGTACTGCTTCATCCCTTTGTTTTTTTCTTTCTTTTTTTTGGCAGCCGCCTTTACGAACAATCCCGGCCAGCGTGGGTAAAGGGACACCTGCCTGCTATTGTGGCAAATGGGATTGCCATCACTTCTCTTCAACCTATTTCGCGAAAGACGTTATGACTGAGATGTTATGCCAATGATTCTGAAAGATACAGGGAAGGTGGGACGACAATTATCAAGTCCGCGAAACAACTGCCAAGCTCGGAAAAGATGATGAACTTCGCGTTGACGACATATTTGGTTAGAAGTTACATGGAAAAATCTCGGACTCAAGTCACAGAACTGAACTATTCAGGGTATTGCGTCGTGAGAGGTTGTCGCCGGTTCACAAGTTGCCGACAGGAAGGACGATCATGGGAGATCGACAACAGTACCGCAAAGAGAATGGAATAGGCGCGTCTTGGCACCAGTATGTGACGAGGTTGGAATTGATATGATCACAGAACTCCGAATGGGTTTGGTGACAAAATGGCAGCCTGGAGGATGCTGGGGTTATGAAGATGTTGGCGGCTCGGCGGCAAGCTAAAGGGGGAAGTTGAGGCTCGAGGCTGAAGTGTCGATCACTTACCTTCGACCCCAGATGGGACTACGTACCACTTGATCGACAGTTCGACACTTTTGTGCCACTGTCTCACTTGAGTTCATGTGAACGACGAGAATGGCATACCATAAGCTGTGTTCAAGCCTTTTCAAAGATGCTGAGAGACCAATGCGCGTTTGAGCGTCTACTTCGTGCCTCTCCTTAACCAAACTCCGGACTCTATCGTCTAAATAATACAGCAGAAACAACACGGACCTTGGCTCCTAGAGGCTATACCACTGCTTGCCGAGTCGACCCCAATCGCCTGGCTGCTTAGGCAGAAGGATATATTGTTCGAGATCTTCAACGACTAAGAGGTTGAAGGAATATGGACCCGCAACTGTTTCCACCGATCGTCGTTCGACCATAGGAACAGACACGAACTTGGACCCTTTACTCAGCCGTTGCCATAAGGCAGCCGTGATAGTCACAGACGGTTACCGAACGATAGAAATGTAAGGATCGAAGGAGCTTCTCGGCAGGGTAGGGCAGACGGTGATGCTGTCGATCTTGTCTTGACTTCCTTTCTGAGTCCGAGTTTGGTGTTTCCGAGGTCTACTAGGTGACGAGAGACGATGTTCGGCTATCACAGCTTCATGAGGCTCGTCCTTGACAAGCAGCATGTCGACCTGGCGCAAGGAGTCTTAATGGCAGACCCGAAGTGTATATAAAGCTCAATGCCCTCTGGTCGTTGAAGCACCTCATCTCTTCATCAGCATCAGCATTAACAACCCAAACAACAATCCAAAGCAACACAAAAACCACCTCAAACACCACTTCAAAACCATACCCTCAACACCACGCAAGCCCCTAAAAGCAACAATGCAGTTCTCCATCACCACTCTTCTCGCCTTCGCGGCTGCTGCCCCCCTCGCCTCTGCATTCACCCGCCCCAAGGCCAACGAGTATAAGGATACCAACTGGTAAGTGTCACTCAACCATAGCACTCCCGCCTTTGAACCTCTAGAGCAGCAACCAGCCAATCAAGAGACCAGAAGCTAACATCACCTCCTTCTTTCCCATTAAACAGCAAGGACTGGAATTACGGTCACAACTCCTATTTCCTCAACAGCGTCACCATGGACGACACCACCAACTCAGTCTACCTGACCAACGGGAACGCGGCCGAGGGCAAGCCGAAGGTCTGGTACGGATACTCGGAAAAGGAGAAGGACGGCGGTTCTTGCAAGGGCCTCAACCTCGGCCGTATGCCTGAGGGTTGCGTCAAGATCAACGAGGTGGCCAAGCTCGTGGGACGCGTCAAGTGCGTTCAGTCTGTCTATTACACGGGCGTTTAAAGCGGGTGCGCCACCTTTTGAATTGAGGTGCACCAATCCTTATAGGTGCACCAATAATAGGCTTAAGGGAGGATAAGAATGGCGACGATGATTTTTGGGTATGAGCGTTTCATCACGAGTTGAGATTAGCATACAGGTGCCACAGGTTGGAGGGGGAGTGGTGGGCGATACCCTTGGTTCGGTACCTCCTGTCACTTGAAAGTTTCGTTGTCAGTTTTGTATTTGGTCTCTCAAGAAGTCATTCGTAGTTCTCTTAATTCAACCAAAGCTTTGTGTGTTCAACTTTAACGAAACTGGCCGTTGCCTTCGGTGCTCAGGTGAATGAAGAAAGCAAGCGAGCTTGCATCCCCATTGAGCACCGGTCAGATTCCAATTGATGTCAAAGTCTAAGGGGAGTTGTAGGCCATTATCAACATGAAATCGAAACGGTACAAAAGGTAAGGACATCGTCTTTGCTGAGTGTCTGAATGGAAGACAGAAGATGGAGAGGAAGTCGACATGATGATGTCCAAAGGGAAAGCATCCCTTGTCGGTGCCTGCCGGGAGCGGTGCTAGCATTTTATGGGGAACAACACCTTTCCCGATCAGGAATGCAGCCCCCTTTACCGAAAAGCACGGGCCATCTCAGCTCTCGACCAACGCAGCCGAACGCCAATGCATTGAGGCGATGTGGCATTTGGTGGTGAGGCGTACTGGAAAGGTGACAGCTTCCCCGAGAACGCGACTTCTTTCAACTTTCTTGAACCATTCAACCACTCTTTTAATCCACTACTTTCTTCTCCGCCAACGACGACCCCATTTTCTTCTTTAGCAACGCCAATTCGACGTGTTTCTCCTTCGCAAATATCCAGTACAAATAATTCACAATGGCGGACCAAGTGCAAGAGATCCTCGACGTGCCCCGCGAGTTCCTCAAGGACGGCATCCAGTTCATCAACAAGTCCCAGAAGCGTATGCCAACTCCCAATCCACTCCAGCTTCAACTCGACCTTGCGCTACCTTGCCTAACGTGGATGCTAACTGTGGTTCTCTGTTACAGCTGATCGCCGCGAGTTCATCAAGATCTCCCAGGCCGTTGGTGTCGGTTTCTTGATCATGGGAGCTGTCGGCTACCTTGTCAAGCTCAGTACGCTGCCCTCTTTTCCCCTCTACTATTGACGTAAAATCTAACATGCTCGTAGTTCACATTCCCCTCAACCAGGTCCTCGTTGGCGGCGCGTAAAGCAATCTACCACTTTTCGACGAAGATAGAGCGAGAAAGCGGACGAAGTTTGTTTGCACCGAAGAGAACCGATAGGGACAAAGATACCCCATGAATGCTTTTTTTTCACGACACACACATGGACGGACGACGGCAGATCCAACCACTACAACTCGGGAGGTCTTGAAGCCGGGCCAGGTCAAAATGACAAACGGCACCGGGCCGCTGACCGTGAATAATCGGGTATGGTAACAGGAGAGACGGAGGACGAAAAAAGATATCCTATTTGCAGGTCGCTTATCACGGGGTCGACTGAACGCCTGCTTATAATTTCCAACGACGCCTGGGACGGGACGTCGAGAGGCAACTGTATAAATCATTTGATGGCGAAATTGGCGGGGAGGGATCATACGCGGAGACAACAAGTTCTAATACTTATGGGAAATGAAAGGCGCTTTGTTTGAAGAACAACACAACTCTGGACCGAGTTGTTTGCGTGAAGTATGCCAGGTTACGTGTGGCATTCAGACGGGGTGCTTAACAATGGTCCATGTAGGCACAAATCTGAACGCTAAGACGAAAGTGTTGTTCATATAGGGAGAATGATTCCTCCCAGAGCCATTCTTCCCCGTAAGTGCATCTCCAATCCTACCTGGGTGCCACGAGCACTCTTGGAGATCAGATAGTGGCCCGATATCAACGATTAAAGTAGGCAACCACGCAACCTTCAGATATCCATCTTGATCCGACCACATCTTTACCTCAGCCTCGGCTGTTCTGTTGACTCGACCGGCATGCTACCTAGAACACCTTTTTGTGTTACCCATGTGGCTCCCAAAGCATCCTCCATGCATCCTCCAGCATTCGACCAATGAAACGATAAGCAGGCTCGAATTATCTATGATTTCTCTCCATCTTTCGACAGCTGGTACTGCTATATCGTGAGCAGAAGACAAGGAGGGCCTTGCTGGGTACGATCTGTTGTTGGATACCAAATATTCAACCCGTCGATTCCTGCTTCTCTTCCGCATCTGTCAGGTGTCATTAGGCAGATCCAGTCGGGAGTTCAAGTTATTGCCGAGTGGGCAAGAACTGGTCGAATATTATATGGAATCCCACCAGCTTCGCCTCCTGGCATCTCTCTCAATCATCGTCAAGGGCGATTACTTCCGAGCCGAAGTTCCAAACTTTATTGCCTCGACCGTCGACCGGATGAGGATTGGTTGTATTCCATGCCATATCGAAAGCGTCCTCAATGATATCATCCCACTTCACGACCGAGTAGCGTCTGCCTGCGCTCCTGCTCATGACCAAACAGTTCAGGACGAAGGCGTGATGCTGGAACGGTGGCAGCGCTGGTTTTCCGACCAGCAGACCTCTCTGGACCCCTTGGCTGATCTCGCGGACGCACTCCTCGGTTAGATGTCCCTCTTGAAGGCGCCATAATGTCTTGATATGGAAGTGTCATTGTTAGCTATTCTTTGTCTTTGCTACTGGTGTTGCCATGGAAGGAGGAGGAAGCAGTTTAGCTTACCGTGCACGCCTTAATGATCTCGTCGATCTCCTTCTCGTCAAGTCCGACACTTGGGTCAGTCGGATACAACAAGCGGTTCGTCACCTCAAAAGATCTCACGTAGTTAGCGCAGGGGGTTCCTTGATTCTGCTGCACAGCCTCCGCCTGGCTCGGTGCCGTTGTTGCTGCTGGAGGACTCTTTCCCGCAGGACTTTTCTTTTTGATAACTGTCGGCAAGGCTTTCGCCATCTTATCGGTGTTCTTGCTGTCGAAAAAGTGGTTGTAAGTCCTCTTAATACCCAGACTCCCGGAACAAAAAGCCACCATCTTCCTCTTCCAAACCGTCCGCCGCGTCTTGTGCTGCTTCGCCTGCTCCTCATCCGGGTACCCGGTGAACTCGGGGTAGTAGGCCACCCAGTCGTTCACGTTCTGGGGGAGGGCTAGGAAATTCCACAATCTTTTGTCGTTCACGTCTGAGACTAGAGCGTATAGGTTTCCCCTCACGTTGCAGGCTCTGATGCAAACGAGGTGGGATGCCCATATGTTTTCCGAGGACAGTCGGTTGCTGTTGTCGTTGATAGTGGTCTTGGTGTTCTTCGGCGGCCTCGGTGCCTCGTCGATGTCGCTGTCGCTGTCGCTGTCCGGGGAATACAAGAGCTCGCCCACCACCACGAAGAGATCGCCTTTCTTGGTCTTGGCGATGTCGAGCTGCTCGGTTGTCAGCGGTGCTGGGTGACGTGAGGCGGATTTTTGCGCTGACTCTCGCAACTTCGACCAGTTCTCGGCTGCTTTGTTGCTCCAAGTCTGGACTCTCGTGTGCGGCGAAGCTCTGATGATCGCTTTTGGGATACGGTTGGGTAACAGATCGTGGTGCTCATATAGATGGGAGGTGACGGCGATGTCTCTTGGTGGTGGGTTGGGGTTAATATCAATGTCTACACGTATGTCCATGGTGATGTCCGCCGTGATGTCCATTGTGACGTCAAAGTCAGAACGGCCTCGATGCCTAGTTGGGAAGAATCATAGGTGCTGAGTCTGCGTATCTGGTGGAGGCAGGACCGAGTCCGATGGGTGTAAGGAAGGAGCGGCGAAAGATGGCGGTTCGGGGGAAAGCGAAAGTTGGATACCTCAACAGTCGCCCCAAGGACGCAGCGAGATGGTGTAGGTCTCGACGGAGAACGGAGAAGGGAGGAACGAAGGCCTGTTTGCTTCTTTCATGATTGCGCGAGTCTTTTTTTCAAATCGGCCGCTTTATGCGAGGACCGCAACCATTTGTGAGCCCTAACTGGGAATGGGATGAAAGACGTCCATGATGTCGTTAGCCTGGAATTTTTATCACGATATTCCGTGGAACCGAAGGTGATATGACTGAATTCTAGCCCGGTCGGTAAGCTGTTTGATCTTTTATACCAGAGGACAGTTTCCAGGAGGTCGGCTCCAGAGTAGACATCCAGAGTCTGGGGAGGAGAGGTACCTTCCTGGCAGCAACAACAAATTGCATATGTACCTGTTGTTAGGTGCGTGGTTAGGTGCGTGCGAAATCAGACAAAAAGGAGAAGCCATCGTTCATCTCGAACGACCTCCGAATTGTTGAGACTGAATGAACAAGAAATTAATGTGTTGCATGTTTTGGAAATCAACAGTGTCCATCATGAATTCCACTTAGATGTCGACGATATTCTTGCTGAAATCCTTTCCGCATACCCGCTCCAACTTTCGACTTGAAGGGTTACATGTCTGTTGATTTCGTTCAGCCCAAGGAGATAACAAAAATGAAAAGGGCCAAGTCTATCCACGAAATACTTGAAGATACTTGGGCATATGAAGAAGCAAAAAAATGCAAAAGGAATTGACTGAAGCGTGATTCGAACACGCGCCTCTTTCGAGACTAGAATGCACCTCACCTTGTGGTAAAGAAGAACTTGGTTCTTGAGTTCTTGAGTCTAGCGCCTTAGACCGCTCGGCCATCCAGCCATTGGAAGATTGTTGAAAATGTGTGCCAGATTAGTGCTTACGTAGACGACATCTACGCCAACCAGCACTACCCTTTCCTCCCGCTGCTACCTCTTCTCTCTCTTTTCCCATGGTCTTTTCATTGGAGCTGCTATGGCATGTTCTTGACAAGTTTGGCGTGATTCCATCTATCCTGTTGTTCGAACCTGGGCTCTTACCTGCCTCAAGTGTGCATCGACAACTGTGGTGATCGCATGTGCAAGTGCAACCCCTCAGTAGCTTCCTGCGGACCACTGCAGCAATGCGAAAGTGAAAGGCTCTTTCCCGATTCTTAAAAGGTGCTCAGAAGAAATATGATCTTGTTTTCGATCACCCCACATTTTCTGATACGAATTGGAAGGCACCGAGATCACTGCAGCCATGTGTGTGAATTAAGTTGTGAAATCCAAAAGAGTCTCTGCGTCCGAGGCAATGACGAGTTGCAGACTGGATTGAAACCAGGCACAACGAACAGGCCCGAGCCCCGGGCCCCAATCTTGGCTGGTAGCGTAGCGGCCGCATTGCGTCCCGCTTTCCCCCCCTGCTAGATCACAGCTTCCCAGAACCCACCACTGCAGGTCCCGTATCATCTCAACAACAAAACAAAACAACAGCTTTTAGACTTTTTTCTGTCGAGATTTTCTTTTGCTGATATTCTTTTCACTCCTTCCTCTCTTTCTCTTAATCCTTAATATCTCAGTCAATCCGTCACAATGGCCGCCACCACAAATCAGCCAACACAAACCGGCCAGGAGGAGGTTACTGACCTCAGTAAGCAATATGATACCCCAATGGGCCTTGCCCACTCGACAATGCAGGCCCTGAAGGATCGTATCAAGCTTCATTATGATCTTGCGAGCGACTATTATCTCAACCTATGGTGTGTTCTCAAACCTTTCACTCTGCAATTTCTTGACGGAGTTGGAGTGGCATGTAGCTTGTGAAAGGACAAACGGGCAGCCTTCACCAAACCCCTCAAACGGAACTCAATAACACCAGGACTGAGTACCAAAGACTGACATCATGACAGGGGAGAGCATATTCACCATGGCTACTGGGCCACGGATGAGGCCAAGGCCAAGGACACTAAGGAGGTTGCTCAGGTCAATCTGATCCGCCTTCTCCTTGAGATCTCCAAGCTTCCAGAGGGCGCTCGTGTTCTCGATACTGGTTGCGGCATTGGCGGCACCTCACGCTTCCTCGCCTCCGAGTTGGGATGTACCGTAACAGGCATCACCATCTCCACCAAGCAGGTTGAGATGGCCACCAGGTTGACCAAGACTGAGGCCGCCAAGCAGATCCAGGGCGATGACAAGACTGTCACTCCTGATGCGGATGGCTTCATTGCACTCGGAAAGGGCAAGGTTAGGTTCATTGAACTTGACGCGGAGAAGATGGGCGAGTATTTCGCTTCGGATGCTGGCGCCTTCGACGCTGTCTGGATCAGCGAAGCCTTGAGCCACTTCCCCAACAAGGCTCTTTTCTTCCAGAACGCCTTCAAGGTCCTTAAGCAGGGCGGCAAGCTGGTTCTTGCCGACTGGTTCAAGGGCGAAGGACTCGACCAGACACAGTTTGATAATGACATCAAGCCCATCGAAGGTGAGCTATTACGCGAGGGAGACCCCGTCATTTACTTCACAATAACTAACACCAAGTAATACAGACGGCATGCTGCTTCCGCCTCTTTGCACTCAGCCCGACTATGTCAAGTTCGCTACAGATGCTGGACTCAAGGTCTTCCACAAGCCCAAGGATATCAGCAAGGATGTCAGCAAGACATGGTCAGTGAAACTCTCCAAAACCCAATTTGGCACAAAACGTCCGTGATTCTAACAGTGTTATAGGGACATCTCGTGGTCGCTGGTACAGAACCCTTCTCTGTGGGCGTTTGCCTTTAGCCAGGGCAGAGACGGCATTGCCTTCCTGCAAGCCTTCCGTGCGATGAGGAGAGGCTATTCCAATGGCAGCTTCCGCTATGCCGTCATGTCGTTCCAAAAGTAGAATTGAACGACAAAAGCAAAAGAGTAAGAAAAGACCCAGTCGTTCGATTGATTTCTCGCCGTGTTGTGTTAGCTTGTGAACGGTATCTCTGTCTTTGCCATCTTAGCAGATGACTGGTGGCCGGCATGACTTTGTCGTGCGAATATCCCTCCGAGGACCTGGTCTGTCTCTTCCACGCCCACTAAAAGCCCTCACCAGATCATGTTGAGATGCCGTCAGTTGATTTCTTGAGGACAATCGAGAAACATATAAAAGGAATTGTAGTCATAAGTGAATGACGAATAGCACCCTTGCCCCTAGTGTGACTAAAGAGACAAACCTACCCCACCTCAATTGACATGTCCCCGACCCCGACCCCGCCCCCGCCCCCGCCCCCGCCTGTTCGAACCTCTTCCTCCTCCGTTCCGGTGCCGGTCCGGTCCGACCCGAGAACAATCACGGCAGCATGATGTCCGCAACCCCGGATCACCATCACTCGGAGCTCGGCATCCTGGTCCCACCTTGGAACCGTGTTGAAGAAAGTTGTGACTCGGAAACCACCAAATGTCACCGTACGGACAGGTGATCCGAGATCGGTAGGATTTATACCTTGTTTGTTACCTCGGCTGTGTGGAGGTTGTGTTAGTCAAGGATATAAGAAGCGAACATTCCAAACATCTGGAATCACCGAGGAGACAGTACAGTCACAAAGTAGGATTCTCTTTGGTGAAAATAACTACCATCCATGAGTCAAGCAGCCGGACATAATGCACAGATCGTTGAATCTGGTAGGTACGTACGTGCGTCTTAACGCCGCGTACCACACGGAAGCAAACACAACGAAACACCCCTCATCCTGTGTGTCATAACCATGTACCGTGAAGAAAAAAGGAGGGGTCAAATCCGATGCCGACTTTCCTTTTTAGTACAAACCGCCCAATAGTATTGATTACCAATGACAACGAGATCGTCAATCAAGGCATTTCGTTTTATCAGTATCCGATCCCGTTGCCTTCACGACTCTCATAAGGCAAGAATCATAAATGGGGTCGTTGTTCCCACTTTGTTAGACCTCCAACGACGTTCATCCAACTTCGATCAGCTGTGCTTCTCACTCCACCAGATCGCACATATTCCACGATGCCTCTTCCCACCTCATCCGTCTACCCACCTCCATCGGCCGAGTTTATGAAATGGCCTAGCCGAAGGAGTGTGGTTCACAGCACCAAGGGAATTGTGGCATGCACGCAACCGCTTGCTGCCAAGTGCGGTATCGATATCCTCAATGCTGGAGGAAATGCTGCTGTAAGATCTATTATCCCCCCTTTCATTATGGGCCACGAACTTCTCAATGCTAAAACGTATACAGGATGCCGCCGTGGCCGTTGGTACGCTTCAAAAATCAACCATCCATCGATGACGAAGTACACAATAACTGACCACTCCTCGAATTTCCAGCCGCCGGCATGAACATGACGGAACCTTGCTCAACCGGCATTGGCGGTGACATGTTCTGCCTCTACTACGATGCCTCGAATGGCAAGGTGTCGGCATTGAACGGCTCCGGACGGGCTGGCGGCAAGTGTACGCTCGAGACTGTCCGGAAGAGCCTGCAAGTTCCCGAGGGCACCGTGGGAAAGATCCCCATGAACAGCGTCCACGCCGTGACGGTGCCCGGTGCTGCCGCTGGCTGGGTCGATACTGTCGAGCGGTTTGGAAGTGGCAAGTTGACCATGGAGCAGATTCTCGCGCCAGCAATCGAGCTTGGTGAGAAGGGATTCCCAGTTTCGGAGATGACGGCTTATTTCGTAAGTTTCTATTAAGACACATCAAGTTCTTTCTAAAGATGCTCTCTCTGACAATTTGAATGACAGTGGGGAAAGCAAGAAAAGGGCATCCGCGATGCATCTCCCAACTTTGCCGAGATGCTCAAAGCGGACTCCTCCGCTCCCGACGGCGTCCGCGCCCCCAAGGCCGGCGAGATCATCAAGCTTCCCAACCTCGCCAAGACCTTCCGCACCCTTGCCACCGAAGGCAAGAAGGGCTTCTACAGCGGCCGCATCGCCGAGGAGCTCGTCAAAGTCGTCAACGACCTCGGCGGCCACCTCGAGCTGGCCGATCTCCAACACCACCTCGAAACCGGCAGCGAGCCCGTCGAGCCCATCTCCTTGAAATTCCCCAACCCCCATGGCTCTTCCGAAACTCAGGGTGTCGAACTCTGGGAACATCCCCCCAACGGCCAAGGCATCGTGGCCCTAATGGCCCTGGGAATCCTCAAACACCTCATCGCCCACGGTACCATCCCCGCCTTCGGCCCATCCGAGCACAACACCGCCCCTTACCTACACGCCATCATCGAAGCCCTGCGCATCTCCTTCGCCGACGCCTCCTGGTTCATCACCGACCCCAACGTTGGGTCCGGCGTGCCCACCTCCCAACTCATCTCCCCCGAGTACCTCGCCTCACGCGCCAAGCTATTCTCCTCCTCATCCGTCAACACCGACATCCTCCAACCAGGCGACCCCTACGCCTCCCCCGCTTTGACTTCCTCCGACACGGTCTACTTTGCCTGCTCCGACAGTCAGGGCAACGCCATCAGCTTCATCAACTCCAACTACGGCGGGTTTGGCACCTGCATCATCCCCGCTGGATGCGGCTTCACTCTGCAGAACCGCGGCGCCAACTTTTCGCTGGATGCGAAACATCCTAATGCTTTGGCTCCCAGAAAGAGGCCGTATCATACTATTATCCCTGGTCTGGTCACGAATTTGGCGGATAGTAGCTTGCACTCGGTCTTTGGTGTGATGGGCGGGTTTATGCAGCCGCAGGGGCATGTGCAGACGCTGCTGGGGCAGGTGTTGTGCGGGCTGAACCCGCAGCAGGCGCTGGATGCGCCGAGGGTGTGTATCGGTGCGGGCATGCCGGATGAGGGGGATGTGTATGACGCGACGGTGTATGTGGAGGAGGGCATGCCGGAGAGCACGGTGGAGGGGCTGAGGAAG